TTTTATTTTTTTTTTTTATATAAAAGTGGTTTTTTTTTTTTTTTTTTTTTTTTTTTTACTATTATTAGTTTTATATATGCATTCAGAAAACATACTGGTTTCTTTCAGTTCTTTGAAGGTAAAGAATTACGTCTGAAACAGGAGTATTTCGTTGTAGCCGCCACACTTCAAGATATAGTCAGACGCTTCAAGTCCTCTAAGTTTGGATGCCGCGATGCAGTGCGTACATCTTTTGAAGCTTTTCCTGATAAGGTAACTATTTTCTTTCATGTTCCATCCTTTCAAATACTTCACCAACACTTCCCTTTTAATGCTGGCGCTTGTTGTCTCCCCTAGGTGGCTATGCAGCTCAATGACACTCACCCATCTCTTGCCATTCCTGAGCTCATGAGACTGTTTGTGGATGTTGAAAAAATGGACTGGGATAAGGTAATATGTTATTATGTTAATATAACTTATTATGTAATTTATTATCCTCGTAACCATTTTGTATCTAAACAGATTTTCAACTTAAAGGTGAAAATATTATTTCCTATGTTCCTCAGCTCCATCTAGTGGCCATAATGCAGTATTACAAGATGTAATTTGAAAATGCATTAGACCTATAAATGCATTTACTTATAAATGCATTGGAACGCATGCTCAGTCTGTTACAAGCTCACCTCCATCCATGACCTTTTTTTTTCTCCATCTCCTTTAACCTACTCGCTGTTACTAAAACCTGGCTTCAGGATTCTTACTCTGCCTCGCCGGCTGCCCTTTCCCATGGTGGCCTCCACTGGACTCACTCACCCAGACCCAGTGGATGAAAGAGGTGGAGTTGGCTTCCTTCTACCCCTACAAATCACATTCCCAGTTCTTCCTACACCACCTTCTCTATCACTCTCCTCTTTTATAGTTCATTGTGTACGTCTGTTTTCCCCTGTTTCGCTGAGGATTGCTGTGATTATCATCCAGGAGCGGTATAATGCTTTCTTGATGACTTCTCTGCCTGGCTACCCAATTTTCTGTCCTCTGAAACACCCACTGTTATCCTTGGTGACTTTAATGTCCCTCAATGTTAACACCACAGCCAACTTTGAGCTACTCAGCCTAACTTCTTCCTTTGGCCTAACGCAATGGACACACACTTCTGTGTGTCGGCCTAACGCAATGGACACACTTCTACTATCTCTGATGGTAACACCCTTGATCTCATATTTTCCCACCTCTGCACTCCTTGCAATCTCACCAACACCCCTTTTCTGCTCTCTAATTACAACCTCATAAGATTCACATTCACCCTATTGTTAGCCCCACCACTCCTGCCAGCGGACCGCTACTCGTAGAACCCTTCACCACTTAACGCCTTTCTTCTTTACTCTGTAATAGACTACCTTTATGACAAAATCACACCCCTGTCCTGCCCTGACTTTGCCACTTCTCTCTACAAAAGCTCACTCTTGTCTTGTATGGACACACCTAACTCACTTAAGTGGGTAACTCACCACTCACAGAATTAGACCTCGCCAACTACAGCTTTGGCAGACAGATGACATCAGGAGACATAGTTGTGCTTTTGAGCGACTATGGAATAAATCCAAATCCCTGCAAGACTTCATCCGATATAAATCTTCCTTCCAAAAATACAGTACCTACCTCCATACAGCTAAACAGACCTATTTCATCACACTCATTAACACCCTTTCATCCAGTCCACACTTTTACTCCCTACTTCATCCCCCTATGCCTCCTCCAACCACCTCACTGACTGCCCAGGGGATCGCCAATCATTTCAAAGACAAGATAGATGGAATACGCTATGAAATCTCCACTGTCCAGACATCTCCAACTCCAAACACACCTTGTCTAATTCCACATCCACTACTTTCTTCATATACTCCTGTTACCACAGATGAAGTTGCTACTCTTCTGTCCAACACTCATCTAACCACCTGCCCCCTGGACCCCCATTCCCTCACAACTACTTTGGTCGCCCCCTAGTTTTATTTTACACTCTCTTACTAACATCTTCAATCTCTCTCTTTCTAATGGCGCCGTTACTACCCCTATAAAACAAGCATTGTTGACCCCTGTATTAAAAAAGCCCTCATGGGGGCCCACCAGTCTGAATTATTTGAAATCATTTCCTTGGTCCCATTTACCTCCAAACTTCTTGAGCGGCTGATCTAAAACCGCATGAGCCGCCATCTTGCTGTACAACCTCCTTGACCCGTTTCATTCTGGCTTTTTTCTGCAACACTCCATAGAAACTGCCCTTCTAAAACTTACTATTGATCTATTAACTGCTAAAACCAATGGTCACTAATCTATGCTCATACTTTTGGACCTTTCTGCTGCCTTTGACACAGTTGACCACCCACTTCTCCTTAATACAATCTAATCCATTGGCCTCCAAGACTCTGTTCTCTCATGGTTCACCTCCTACCTAACTCAACGCACCTTCAGTGTCCCCTACCACTCTACCTCCTCCTCTACCTCCTCCTCTACTCTTCCTCTTTCCGTGGGGGTAACCCAAGGGTATGTGCTTGGGTCCCTTCTGTTCTCTTTCTACACCTCCTCCCTGGTCAGTTGATATTCTTCTATGGCTTCCAATACCATCTCTGTGCTGACGACACCCACATCTATCTCTCCACTATTTCCACTCACCACTTCTGTCTCCTCAAGCATCACTAGTTTACTCACCGACATATCAACATGGATGTCTCACTACTTCCTCAAACTCAATCTGTCCAAAACAGAGCTTATAATATTTCTTCTATCCGTGTCCCCTCCCCTGACTTCTCCATCACAATCAACAGCACTACGATCAACCCCTCACCTCAAGCCAGGGTGCTTGGAGTAATTCTCGATTCTGAGCTCTCCGTTCAGCCCCACATCCAGTCATTATCTAAATTTTGCAGACTTAACCACTGTATCATTTCTAAAAATCGCCCCTTTTTGACAAACAACACCACAGAGCTTCTTATTCACTCTCTTGTAATCTCTTGCCTTGACTTCTGTAACTCCCTCATTGATGGCGAACCACTAACAGGCTAGCCCCCCTTCAGACTCATCCACCTCACCAACAGTTCATTTTCCACTGCCTCTCTCTGCCAATCTTTCCACTGGCTCCCAAGTGCCCAACAAATAAAATTCAAAATACTAACAGCATACAAAGCTATTTACAACTCTACCCCCTGATACATTACCAACCTTATCTCAAAATATTACCCAAACCGTCCTCTCTACCCAAGACCTCCTGCTCTCCAGCTCTCTTGTCACCTTCTCCCATGCTCGCCTCCAGGATTTCTCCAAAGTGTTTACTATCCACTGGAACTTCCTACCCCAATCTGTCTGCTTATCTCCTCCTCTGTCCACCTTTAGGGCATCCTTGAAAAGTCATCTCTTTAGGGAAGCCTATCCCAACTCAACATAAAAACTGTCTTTTTCTTCTTCCACTAACTCAGTCTATTATTTACAATTATTACGTTTTGTATCACTTGCCCCTCCTACTAGATTGCAAGCTCTCACAAGCAGGGCCCTCCTATCCCTACTGAACTGAAATTGTATTGTAACTGTACTGTAGCTCCCTCCAGTTTGTAAAGTGCTGCACAAACTGTTGGTGCTATGTAAATCCTGTATAACAATACAGAAAATATAACGAGTGTTTGTTTTGTGCATCCATTCGCACAGCACAAACATTCAGAGATTCACAGGGCCAATGTCTCTGCAAATCCTTTATACTGTAAGTAGACCCCAGAGTGTCAAGCTGAGTGGAATTAGGTGGCCACAATAGCTACTGCATGCATAGGGGTTCACTTACCTAATTCTACAATATACTAAAATAAAACATTTTGAAGTTACACTTTAGAAATAAAGGTAAGGTGCAAAATAATTTGGTGCAAATTAAAATATTAAACTGAGGACAGTAAGGGCTAGTTCATACCAAGCGCATTCCAGTTTTTTCCCCCTTTTTGTAAAAAAAAAAAAAAAAAAAAAAAAAAACGGCCCAGAACACGGCAAAATTGCGGCAGAACACACTGCACTGCGTGTGCAGAAACTCATGCAGATCTGGTCTGCATTTGGTGTGAACAAACCTTAAAGAAAAAAAGTATTAGGGTTGCATGCAAATCGGGGAGCAATCCCCTTTCTTCTATCTTGCCTTATTTTAACTCTAGCCCATGTTTTCTTGGCCAGACATAACCTTGCAGAACCTGCTGTACAAAACATGAATCTACAGCCTTTCATGCATAGCTGCATGCAGAAGATTAATATGTTATACTAATTACCTGTTTGTGCCAGGTTGTACAGTTGTTAAAATAAGTTCCCTTGTGTACACTTACACTTAGCCAGCTCATTATCTTCAAAGATATCTACCCCGTACTGCAGCACCCTATCCCTTACTGCAGCATCCTGTCCCCTACTGCAGCAGAGAATGCACTAACCTAAAATATGGATTACTTCCTTAAAGTGACATTTAGGTCACAATTATTTTCCTCCCCTCGCCATGCCGCTTTAAGGACTTACCTTAAATGATGATGCCTCTTGAGCCGATCATCTTCTTCCTTCCACTTGTATTCACGAGTCCCTCCAGTGCTGGTGCCGGTCTCTGATCCAGCGCAGACTTCTCGGGTCCCACGGTTTCTGTCCGACGTGCACACTCACGGCTGCGTGCATTTAGCTCCACTCCTCTCTTCTCCCCGCCAAAGATCTCTACTGCGCATGTGCCCGCCCCATCATCCTGCTCGGCCGTTCAAGAAGCTCCAGATGTTCAATTTTTTGTTGTTGTTAAGTTTTTGCATATATCTACTGCTTGCTAGCAGTAGATATATGAAAAAAAAAACCCAAAGTGTTTAATTATACTTTAAAGTAAATGATGGAGGGTAAATATGTCCCCTATTCTACACTAGAAGTCTTCAAATGAGTTGCTCTACATTTATTATGGTTGAATAAATGTTGACAAAATAGATAACATGATCAGAATGTATTTTGTTATTTTCTTATGATTATTTATTTTATTTAACATCTAATACTGCTGGAACATGTCTCACTACTATACATCTGTCTTTTTCAGGCCTGGGATTTGACAGTCCGCACATGTGCTTACACAAATCATACAGTGTTGCCGGAAGCTCTAGAGCGCTGGCCAATCCACCTCTTGCAAAATCTGCTCCCAAGACACCTGGAGATTATCTATGAAATTAATCAGAGACACCTCAATGTACATAATGTCTTTATCAAACATCCCTGCCCTCATCCTATGTATTGTTTTTCTTCCTATATTGCAAGATGCACCTGCTGTATCCTCCCTATTTTTCTTTTTAGATAATTTGTATTCTTTTACTGCCATAGTACACTTATGTTTTTATCTGTAACTCTTGCAGCGTGTCTCTTCCAAGTTTCCTGGAGATGTTGACCGAATGCGCAGAATGTCTCTTGTTGAAGAGGGGTCAGTTAAGCGCATTAACATGGCGCATTTGTGCATTGTTGGCTCACATGCTGTAAATGGTGTTGCCCAGATCCACTCAGACATTATCATAGACACAGTGTGAGTATGAGTGTGAGTTTTCCAGTACACCATTCACTTTTCATCCACATACCTATAACTTTTTTTTTATTTGCAGCTTTCATGATTTCTATGAAATGGATCCCCATAAGTTCCAGAACAAGACTAATGGCATTACTCCCCGCCGCTGGCTGCGGCTGTGTAACCCAGGCCTTGCTGAAGTCATAGCAGAGGTAAACAGTCTGCAGTGTATATATTTCTTTGCATTAGTTTGGTGTCTGACAAAAGCAAATCTTAGAGGGTTTGGAGATTCAGATTTAAAGCGCAACTGTGGTTTGGTGATGGGCAAAGCAGCAGGTTTAATTAAATGTTAACTAATTTCCCCATTTCTTGTCCAAACTGCTTATACTCAGTTTTGCTTCACTCCCCTACCATAGCATTTACCAGCGTGGAAGAGAAGAAAACCTGTCCAAGTCAGTTTAGATGGAGTTTATACAGCCTAAAGAGTCTCTCTGCCCTGTGTAACAATGCTGGGGCTTGCTCAGGCACTGGGTGTTGCATCATGTGAGAAAGGGGAGATAGTCACATACCCCCCTATACCTGCAAGAACCACTATTTTTTTTTGTGCCAAAGGTCAAGGGAAGAAGAGTATATGTAGTGAAGGAATGGGAAATGGGGTAAGCATTTCAGTGCATTAGCAAAGCACAATCACACTTTAACATAGGGGCAGTTTTTACTGTTATCTAACTACTTTGGTTACCATGATCATTTTAAAATCGTGCAGGAAAAGCAATTTTTTTAATGACACTGAGACTCAATACCATCTGCAGGTCCTGGCTGGCTTGAAGGCTTGATGCCACCTGCCTGTTATGTTGATGTCTAGTACTGAACTGGGTAGCTGAAACATTCACCTCATGACCTTCAGATACTGCTACACAGGGATGGGGTTTGGGTTCAAAATTTGGGATCCTGTCCTTTGAACTTGGGTTAGCTGGCTTAGGCCGATAATGTGGCTTTGTTATGTGCTAGCCCCAGTATAATAAGGTGTTTTCCCAGCAGCCATTCTTCAGTGTGTGCTGGAGTAGTTTAGGGAGAGCTCATGGTCTCCTTAAGGAGAATTTGTATACTGTTATATATTGTGTAAATTACTGTTGAATGAGCTACATATTCTGTCCCCCCACCCTCTACCATGTTCACAGGACCCAACAGTCCTTTTTAGGACTAGCTTTTTTTGTGAGTGTCAGCAACAACTGTAGTTGCGGTCGCTAGTGCCATGACCAAAGAGGAAGGGAACATCAGGCAGAGAGCAGCAAGAGGCAGTGACGTTCCAGTAGTTAGAGCTTACTGCAAAGTGGGCTCCAGTGATGAGGAGGGGGGTGGATGATAAGGTGGTAGACCTTATCATCCATCTTTTGCTGCCGATTTGTCTCATTGAAGTGCTGCTTCCACCAAGCTCTGTGGTGCAGAGTCATATGATTCCTCATTCATGCGGTACCCAAATGGATGTTAATTTTACCTCACTTGATATACTGCAGGCAGAGGCTGCAGACCACAATGATGCTGCCAGCAGCATATTTTAAAAAAAGGAACATGCTGCTGAGCTCTGTGGAACAGCTCTGGGAAAAGCAGTGGCCTGTACCTGTGGGGCAGTGCTGCCAGATGGATTAAGATGGTTGCACAAGGGAAGAAGAGTATATGTAGTGAAGGAATGGGAAATGGGGTAAGCATTTCAGTGCATTAGCAAAGCACAATCACACTTTAACATAGGGGCAGTTTTTACTGTTATCTAACTACTTTGGTTACCATGATCATTTTAAAATCGTGCAGGAAAAGCAATTTTTTTAATGACACTGAGACTCAATACCATCTGCAGGTCCTGGCTGGCTTGAAGGCTTGATGCCACCTGCCTGTTATGTTGATGTCTAGTACTGAACTGGGTAGCTGAAACATTCACCTCATGACCTTCAGATACTGCTACACAGGGATGGGGTTTGGGTTCAAAATTTGGGATCCTGTCCTTTGAACTTGGGTTAGCTGGCTTAGGCCGATAATGTGGCTTTGTTATGTGCTAGCCCCAGTATAATAAGGTGTTTTCCCAGCAGCCATTCTTCAGTGTGTGCTGGAGTAGTTTAGGGAGAGCTCATGGTCTCCTTAAGGAGAATTTGTATACTGTTATATATTGTGTAAATTACTGTTGAATGAGCTACATATTCTGTCCCCCCACCCTCTACCATGTTCACAGGACCCAACAGTCCTTTTTAGGACTAGCTTTTTTTGTGAGTGTCAGCAACAACTGTAGTTGCGGTCGCTAGTGCCATGACCAAAGAGGAAGGGAACATCAGGCAGAGAGCAGCAAGAGGCAGTGACGTTCCAGTAGTTAGAGCTTACTGCAAAGTGGGCTCCAGTGATGAGGAGGGGGGTGGATGATAAGGTGGTAGACCTTATCATCCATCTTTTGCTGCCGATTTGTCTCATTGAAGTGCTGCTTCCACCAAGCTCTGTGGTGCAGAGTCATATGATTCCTCATTCATGCGGTACCCAAATGGATGTTAATTTTACCTCACTTGATATACTGCAGGCAGAGGCTGCAGACCACAATGATGCTGCCAGCAGCATATTTTAAAAAAAGGAACATGCTGCTGAGCTCTGTGGAACAGCTCTGGGAAAAGCAGTGGCCTGTACCTGTGGGGCAGTGCTGCCAGATGGATTAAGATGGTTGCTCCATACAGTCCTCTGCATGCTTCCCCTTGACAAAATTCTCTCTCGCTGCAGTTCTTCCAACAAATGTAGGTGCCACCATCTGGAGAGGAGGAAAGTTCTGAAGGTAAAGAACTGCAGTGAGGGAGAATTTTGTCAAGGGGAAGCATGCAGAGGACTGTATGGAGCAACCATCTTAATCCATCTGGCAGCACTGCACCACAGGTACAGCACTTCAATGAGACAAATCGGCAGCAAAAGGCTCAGACTTCTACTCCCTATTCCTCACTTTCTGAAGGGTCATGGGACCACGCTAAGGGGTGTCAAGTTAAGACATTGACCATTGTTGTCCTCAAAAACACCAGGAACTTGGCATCCTGTCCTGTAGGCAATTTATGCCACCATACCAGGAGGGGGGCCCAAGGTGGCATTTTCAGCAGGTGCTGTGTAAAAACCTCTTTGCTGTACTTCCCGATGGTGCCAGGTTCCCACTGATAACCAGTCTGTCTCTTGTGCTTACAAAGAGGACCAGCAGTGGCAGCAGCTGCCTCAACACTGCTTTTTAGAGTTTTTGTTAGTCTACAGTGGCCAGGCCCACCTGCAGCCAGCTTTAACATGCAGCACATAATTGGTGACATCAGATGCGAGGCTGATGTGGACATTCTCAGAAATGAGGACCCCATAGACTACTGGGTCTCCAGGTTGGACCATTGGCACAGTATGCACTGGAGCATCTGGCTTGCCCTGCAACCAGTATGCCGTCTGCGACAGTCTGCGTTGGCCTTTGTTCTGGAGAGGTGACTCTGTCTGTGCCCTGACAGTGTGGACTATCTCACTCTCATTAAAAGTAACCATTCTGAGATTACCAATGATTACAATCCTTCTCCCCCCCC